GGCCACAACTGTAAAGCTGTGTACTATGGCCAACATGGGACTTTCAGTTCTTACAGTTATTTTAAAACAATTGTAAACACATATGTAGGACCTAATTTTATTCATAACATCCTATCAAATTCATACCTATGGAAGTACACCTGGAAGTACAGTTTGACTCAAACTGGTTGCTGGCAAAGCATGTGAAAAATTTTATGAGGCAGGTTGATGAACAAAGTCCATGATGGCTGATTTAGATAAAATGGATCAAGGATACTGCCAAAGGCATACACAGGTGTGTGTGTTTATATACAGTACATTTAATTGTTCATTGTCTTTTACTGTATTTTTTAATAGACATGTGTAATATTTTATTAGAAAAATAACAGCATGATAACAGCAAGATGCAGAAAAATTGCCACATCATAACATTTCTCTGAAAATTCAATATACGGTAGATTTGAAATTATATATATCTTGCATATAGTATTAAAGTTTAACATGTTTTTAGCAGAAAATAACCTATTAGACTACTTTCACACTGAGGAGTTTTTGAAGCGTTTTTGCATAAAAAAAAGCGCCTGAACAACTCAAGAAAAATGCTTCCCTATGTATGTGAATGTATATCTGTGTATGTTTTCACACTCAATCGTTGCGCTTGTGGTACGGTGTAAGAACTCCTGCTTGCAGCATCTTTGGGGCATGTTTTGTGAGTTAAAGAAAATGTCCAAAATATGCTTCTTCCCATTGAAATCAATGGAAAATGCCTGAAAAACGCTTCAAAAACGACTGAAAAGCGCCTCAAAAATGCCTCTGAGAAGCGTTTTTGGTGCAGTTTTTCAGTCATGTGTCCTTTAAAAACACTCAGAAAGCATGGCAAAAGCGCGGTAAAAATTCCTATGTTTTTTTGCTGTGTTTTTGCAGCGGATCAGTGTGAAAGTAGCCTTACTCTCTTCTGTTAGACACTTGGAGGGCATATTGGAATTTGTAGATGGAGACCGTACAATTACCTAAGGGTGGCTTCACGCTCCCCTGCTGCACTTTTGCTAAATCTCAGCCAGTGGTGGACTGACAACTCATTAGGCCCCTGGGCAATAGGGAATCATGGGGCCCCGTGTCCTTGCCCAAACTCAAAAAAGCCTATGAAAAAGGGACAGGGCATCTCATGGGGCCCCCTACTGACCCCGGGCCCTCGGGCAGTGCCCAAGTTTCCAAATGGTCAGTCCGCCCCTGATCTCAGCTAAACCACAGTTTTTGTGCAGGTTAGATGTGCTTTCCCATAGACATCTATGAGGTCTTGGGGTTTTGGTGCAGTTTCAGAAAGCACACCAAAACTCCTGCTTGCTACATCTTTAGTGCGCTTTTTGACACTGCAACAAAACCACAGGACATCATAGAAGTCTATAGCAAAGTACAGCTAGTCGCATGAAAACTGCAGGTTAGTTGCGCTTTAACATATGCCGAAAGTGCCGAAAGCTAATTTAGAGGTTGTTCTCCTTCTGTGAATTGAAGCTGCTATTTTAAACTCTGCTACTTTATTTATGGTATGAAATTGATCAGGGACCTAAAACACATTTTATATTTCTTTGGTCATTTCCTCTTACATTTAAAGGTTCATGGGTTTAGATGCGCTCAGAGTATATAACCTGTTCATGCTTGTATTGATTTGTTTTTCCTAAATGCAGCTAAAACCGAATGCACCTGACCTAAAGTAAACCACAATATGAATTATGCCATTGTAAAGCATTACATGCATTTTATATCTGCTTGGAAATTACCCATAACGTTTATTTTTTAGTAGGCTTTAGTGGGCATTTGTATCTTGTTATATTTGGCTGGATTTAAGAAAAACAAACTTTATCACTTTTGTTCAGGCGCATTAAGTTTAGCTGCATTTAGAAGTAATAGAAATCAGTGAATCCAGGAGCAAATTAAGTACTCTGGGCACATCTAAACCCATGTACCTTTAAATGCAAGAGAAAGTGATCTAGGAAGTATAACTGTATGCTTCCCAAATTGATTTCTCCAGCACAGTGGCTAAATGGTTAGCACTTCTGCTTGGCAGCACTAGGGTCGTTGGTTCCCCGAATCCCAACCAGGGCACCACCTGCCTGGAGTGGCAAATTTGCATGTTCTCCCTGTGTTTGCGTGGGTTTCCTCCCACACTCCAAAGACATGCTGTTAGGTTAATTGGATCCTTTCTAAATTGGCCCTGGTTTGTGTATGCATGAATGTGAGTTAGGGGCCTTAGATTGTACGACCCTTGAGGGTTAGGGACTGATGTGAATGTACAATATATAAATGTAAAAGTGCTGTGTAAATTGACAGCGCTATATAAGTACCTGAAATAAATACATTTAAATAAAACAAACCCAGAAGACTAGTGTGAATAAGAGCTAGAAATTCAAAGACCGATCAATATAGTTTTTTAAGGTGCTACAGCTTAGGAAATTTAGGAACACCTCAGTCTGAAATTTCAAAGAGGATTTTGTTTTGTGAAGTAGAAGTGAGGTCTAGAGGACTCAGCTCTTTTTGCTTTTGGCTTTGGAGTTTCTCTGCATCTATGGACAGCTGATAACTAAGTTTCCTTTGCCCAGAAAAATATAGCCAAAGGTTTTGGGCCTAGTAAAATTACACTCACCTTTAATGATCCTCCCATAATCTACATACACATGCTCCTTAACAGCTAATATTCTTTGACATTTAGCATCAGGCAAGGCAATGCCAAAGTTGCTTACCCTCCTACGTTCCCCCCTAGGATAGGAACAATGAGTGTCTTTAATGCAAAGATGTATTCAGGTTCACACTACAAAAAGACTCATTCGGGCAGCGTTTCAGCATGCAAATATTTATCTGTTTTCAGTGTAATCCAGTGCATTTTTCCCCTCTTTGTTTCTTATTTTTTTACCAAGATTTTCTAGATTTTTATTTTGTGCTGTAATACGTTCCAATGCATTATTTTGCCACATTCCAGTACAATTCTGTGCAGAAAAAAATGCTGCACATTCTACTTTTTTTCTGCACTGGAACATACTGGAACTGACTGCACAGGTGTAACCTATGCCATTGGAACACATATAATGTACTGTCCATGTGTTTTTCATGCAGAAAAAAACCACACTGAACTGTATCTGGTGTGAACCAGCCCTTATAATGTATGCAGGAATTGCTTGAAGACAGCCACTAGAGCCTATTTGTTCTATGTAAAGAATAGGAGTTCACCTTTCCTAACATGTTACATGTTACAGCCTCATTCAGGGTATAACAAGTAACATGTTATGAATGGACCAGCCCCCCCCCACTACCACCGCCACTTTGACAGTGAGCAGGGGATCTTCTCCTTCTGCTAGCTGTCAAAATAAATAATTAAACATGCAATATGTGTAAATATATAATGCACAAAGAAGATAAATAAATGTGATTGTAGCACTAGACAGGTATACTGACAGGTCTGCAGGAGACCTGCATGGCATCAGCAATCTGCTGATCGCTGGTGCAATGCTTTATAGGCTCCTGCAACAAAAAATAATAACATTTTTTTAATCTGAAAAAAATGTGCATTTATTATTTTCTGTCAAAAGGTTAACTTATCCTTTTAAAGTAGTTCTAAAGGCCAAAGTTTTTTTATTGTAATGCATTCTGTGCTATAAGGAAAAAACCTTCTGTGTGACCGGTCCCCTCCCCAGCACTCCCTTGTACTTACCTGAGCCTGATCTTGATCCAGCGCTGTGCATGTCTGCAGCAACACTGCTTTTCTCCGCCTTCTCCTGCTGGCTCCTGCTGCTGTCAGTCATTGCCTGTGAGGAGGGGGTGGGGCCAAGCTGCACTGCATGTGTCAATAGAAACACACAGTGTGGCCTGAGAGCCAGCCTGCACGAGTGCCCCCATAGCAAGCTGCTTGTTATGGGGGCACTCAGCAGGGGGGAGGAACCAGGAGTGCCGGCGGGGAAACTGAGAAGAGGAGGGTCGGGGCTGCTCTGTGCACAACCACTGCACAGAGCAGGAAAGTATAAAAAGTTAGTTATTTAAAAAATAAAAACATTGAACATTATGTGCACAATGCACTGCACACTTCCTTACAAAAAAGAGAGAAGGAAAGGGATCCTTGGTCAGTCTGCAGGATTTATAGAGCAGCAGGAGGAATTAGCCAGGTTAAAGGCAGTGCCCAAATTTGCAGGAAGACAAACAGATCATGGGTTGTTTTCCCATCATGGTAGAAAGCTCAAACAGGCCTCTCCAGACTGCAGGGAAATTATATGACATCTTATATATGCATATAAGAAAAACAGTTCCATAAGTTAAAAGTACTAGTAAGATTCAGGTAGAATTAAATGACATAGGTTAGAGCTGGCTGCATTCAGGCAGAGTAATTTCAGTTCAGGCAAGAATTAAATGGGATTCAGAAGAAAGCTCACAAAAACTGAAGCAAATGTTGGGGCTGATACATTAAAACTATAAAAAGGAAAAAAGAACAAACATGGAGTTAACATTTGCTCTTATTTTCTCATGTCATATTTTAATGAATCAGCCAATGCATACTTGCTGTCAGTTCATGCTTTTGTTGCAATACCCCATTTAGGACAACTGATATGACATTCACATGGCTATGAGCAGTATGTCCTGCTATGTGAATAGAGGACTCAGCTGCCTCTGTAGGTGATTGGGAACTGCCAATTCTTGGAAGCAGCTATTGCCTGTTTTTATTTTTTGCTTAGAGTTGCCCTTTAAACCAGAGAAAACACTGCAACTTTAATTCCAGGAACAATAAACCCAAGAACACAATTCACTAGAACACAAGTTGTTTGCAACATTGTACACTAATGATTTCAGTTTAAACACTTTAAAATACATTAAAACAATTACTGCACAGCTGTTGTAATCCTTGTCCAGCATTCCAAAATCTGCATTCCTTGTGTAAACTGTACTGGAAAATTGATACCTGGAATTTGATTGAATGCTTTTTGTTGCATTTCTGGGGCTAAAATATATGTGAGGATCAGTAGCACCTATTTTTGTGCTGATCACAGGATACTGCTCTCATCTCTTACTCCCAGACTGATCCTAGTGCTTTCAGTAATGGAACATGGTGGGGTTTCCAAATGTATCGTCCTTCTTCGATGCTGAGGGGTGCATAATCCATCAAGTGGTGGACTGTTAACAGTAGAAGTTGGTGCATGGTGGGGTAAGGCTGAAATTGGCCAGAACCCCGCCCAGCGACGGAAAAGGAAACGGCAACACCTGTAAATAAAAATGATGCAGAGATAAAGGATTGTGGCATCTGAAACACTAAGACAAGTTCAGTGAAAGCAATAATCCATTTTTGTTGAGTTTTACAAGCTACACATGCATGGCTTTTTACGTTATAGAGTTCTACCCAACAGCCTAACTAAAGGTAAGCCAACTGCAGTGGTAATGCCTGGCTGTTGCAAAACTTTCTTTTTTTGATGCTGCATTGTTGCAGTAACAAGGTAGAAATGCAAAGGTGTGAATAGACCCTTAAATATATGTAAACCATTAGTAATTAAACAAACCAGTCACATTCTTACAAATTCTAATGTTTTTATAGTCAAATACCTTTTTGTTATTTTATAGCAGTCACATGACTGCTATCATTCTTGCCGGTCCTGGAGAACTGAGGACTTTGGGACTAAGTAAGGCTTCTTTGCCTGTGTCACAGCCCACACATGTCAAACTAAGACCTTGAGCTCCGTTACACCTCATTTCACTTTATATAGCTAACACTTTACAGGCGGTCCCCAAGTTACTAACATTGGAGTCACAAACGACTTGTACTTAGGAAAGGAGGGAAAAACAAGAAGTGAGAGAAAATCTACCCCTAGGGAAAAGGGAAATTCACTCCTGTAAGAATTATCATGGGAAAAAGGTGTCTCCACTGAAATTTTATCACCAATCCTAGTTTCCACAACAACCCAAAATTTTGAAAACCCGATTGTCACAGGGACAAAAAGTGAGGTTAAAATCTTCTGAACTAGAGCACAGACAGCAAAACAAACATTACAGGGGTGTTAACCCTTCCCTATGCTATCCAAAAAAATGCATTATTAATTATGAAAATATAATTTTGTTTTAGCTGGAACTACACTTAAAACATGACTCTATTCCAACTTACGTACAAATTTCAACTTAAGAACAAACCTACAGACCCTCTCTTTTTCATAACCTGGGGACTTCCTGTATTCATGACATTAATATTGCATTTTAATTAGAGAATAATGCTCAGTATACCACTGATAAAAAGGGGGTTACTAAGGAGTACAGATGCTTTCTGCAAATTAACGCTAGTAATCAGAGGGTACATATTGAGGATAAACAATATACAAACATAATAACTGCTTGATAAAAGACAAGTGCACACAGGAAATGTTCATTTTGTTTCAGATGCATTAGTTCATTGAAGAATTTCATTTAGTCATATTCATTTTGTTGAACTTTTTTGTTTTCGGAATTTGTTTCATATCTTTGGAATTCGTTTTGTATATTTGTTGGTCCAGGTGTATTTGAAAAATTTTGCAGTTTTTACAGAAGATTTGCTATGTATTCCATATACTATTGAATCGAACGGAATCAATATTCCAACCCACCAAAACAAATGGCATGAGCTGATTTCTAGTGTTTGTATCCAATGTGTGTTGTTATGTTTGCAGTAAAGGAATTATGTAAAATTATTTTTGTGGCTGTAGACTATAGGGCAGTGTTTCTCAACCTTTTTACCTTGGAGGAACCCTTGGCAAAAAGTTAAAGATCTCGGGGAACCCTCTCCAATAATTTTTTCAGATCTACAGCTCACGGAACATTGGATCTGATCAGTGAGCTGTAGCTATAACAACAATTAACAAACAAATGCAGAGCAGTGCAGGGAAGCTGTTGTTGTAACATGCCTTTTCTCCTTGATCCCCACTAGCCCTCCTCTCGTCCATCCCAGGTGATATTACATTTAACAGCCTGAGTCAAGCAGAAGAGGAGGACTTGTGGGGAACAGTTCAGTAAATAACAGTATGCTTCCCTGCACAGCTCTGCAAATCCATACCACAGGGTTTTTCACTTGGGGTTCCACCGCAGATCCATATTTTGGCAGATGTAGGTTAGGTCCATATATATTTGGACACAGGCACAATTTTAGATTTTTTCAGGTATTTACCAAAACATATTTAAGCTTTAGAAATTACAGCTCTTAAGAGTAGCCACCCCCCCTTTTTCAAGGAACTAAAAGTAATTGGACTGTAATTCGTAAACCCTTCCTCCAATTTGTATGTACATACCCTCAGATTAAACCTGAGAGTGTGCACTTTCAGCCCATATCCATTATATAATTATAGCTTGAATATGTTTTGGTAAATACCTAAAAAAAACTAAAATTGTGCCTGTGTCCAAATATATATGGACCTAACTGTATATCCACCCAATGCTGTTTTTAATACGCACTGACAGTGCTTCCTCTGTAGTTGTGGTTCCTGTGAACTCAGAGGGTGGCATCGAGTGGAGTGCAGAGAGTGATCAGGAGGTGACATCTTGTGTATGGCAGAAGTGAATGCAGACTGTGGAGTAGGGAAGCAGAGAGTGGGAGCACATGGAATAATGTAGTAGGGGCATCCTGTGTATGGCAGTGCTGAATGAAGACTGCAGGAGCACATGGCTGAATGAGACTGAATGTAGCAGGAGGTAAGATCATAATAGCTTTATGTCCAGTTATGGCATAGCATAGAGCTAATTTGATCTCACCTCCTGCTACACTCAGTCTCTTCCAACTGTGCGCTCCCCCTCTCTGCAGTCTGCATCACTGCTGCCAAATATGTCACCTCCTGTTTTAGCCATGTGCTCCTTCTCTCTGCTCAACCTCCAGTCTGTATTGACGGCAGCCCTACACACACAGTGCTCTGTCTCTCTGCTCCCTTCTGCACTACCTTCCCAGCACTCTGCTGGCACCTCTACACAGAGTCATCAAGAGATCTCACCTAGTGTTCCAGTTATGGGCTTGTGCTTTGCGCTCCATCCCACCATCTCCCTTCAGCTCCTGCTGTGTGCAGTACTCCCGGCGCCTCCCTCTGAGGAGCTGGAACTAAGGAGGAGGCATCAGGTATCAATGCGTGCTGACAGTACTGATTGTCAGTGGGCACTAAGTACACTACTGCAAACAACACTGCGTGGTATACATCCGCCACAATGCTGAATTGCGGCGGAACCCCTGGGGACCTCTCGTGGAACCGTAGGGTTCCGCGGAACCCCCGGTTGAGAAACACTGCTATAGGGTATCGAAATAGTTGATTTTGTATTATATTTTTGGTGCTCTGGTCTTGAGTTGATTTTATAGACTCAGTTCCCATAATGTTTTTGAAATTACAGGCTAATTACAGAGGAGTTCAAGAATACTGTGTGTCAGTCTGGGATGCTGTAATCAGAGTGTGGAAACATGCACAGCTTGCTGATAATGTTGCAACAGAAATTGGACCCTGTGGTTAGCATTGCTACCCACTACCTAGAAGAGTAATATGTTGCCAAGACCAACAGGTATTTCCAAATGCTTCTCAAAGAATTCTAGCAATAAAGACAGCAATGTTAGATTTAGAATGGTGAGAGGAACCTTTAAAGTTAGATTCACACCACTGTGTTACGGCAATGTGAGCTACTGCAACATATGGCAACACACATTATGCGTTGTGATTTGCTGCAGTGACATTAATTTTGAATGACTTCATAATGCACCTGCATTACAGCACACTGATACACACAGTGGCCTACTGAATAAAAATGTGCAGTTATATTTTTTGCAAAATGAATGGGTAATTGTTACATAATGAACGTTAACATGAGATATAATATGTTAACACAACACACCAGAGTAGACAGGTGTAAATGGACTCTTAAGCAGCAATCAAATCTTGGGTTTGCAAACACTTTAAACTTGTTATGTATATGCAGTATAATGTTAACTGCAGTGTTTCCTTTACATCCATTGTGTGCCCTCCATATAAACCTCTTCAACTGTCAATCAGATTCTCATTTCTTGTGTAAATTAGGCTAATGTTGATTTGCAGTATACAGCAGTAGCAATTGACTGCACTTGCATAAATAATTTTTCACACCAGCCTCATTATGCAGAGTTGCCCAATTCAGTCACAATGCATAGACAAGGCAGTGTGTCTTATTTCTTCTTTTCAGTATGCTGTCAGTTTTAATAAAATGTAAACAAAATAAAAAAAAACACTGTGTTGTACAATGCACATTGTGCATACCTTACTGCATTCCCATTGGTGTGAATCGGCTCTAAATTACAAAGAAAACAAGCAATGCACCACTGTTGGTGCTTACTCAAAACAGATACAAAAACAAAAGAAAAAAAACTACAAAAAGGCTCACACTTATGTAACAATACCTTCAATTAACAAACACATACAACTAATAACAATATCCTTAATTCAAATTTGAATATAATGAGGTTTGATTATTTTTTATTTTGAAATTGAATAAAGGGTATTAATAGTTATACAATTTAGTAGCCACTAGAGTCCTCGGTGCCATTTTAAAATGGCTATTTGTCCCCATTTTAAATTGTCACTCCTATAGTGATTTATAGCTGGTTGATTGCAGCCTGATCACTGTTTCACAGCAGCATAATCTGGATCAAGTTTCCACTGACATGATCCAGACCTCCCATAAGGTAAAACAAAATTAAATGAATAAAAAGAAGTTAAAGTTCCAACTATAACAGATGATCCAGATGACATTTGCATTTAATGCACGAGTGTCAAATGCTCATGAGTGAATGCAATATTCTTCGGATTTTTAGCAAATCTGTGAAAAAGGCACCGTTATGCTAATTAGTGTTTTTGCCAATCCAATTTAATCTTATCCTAATGCTATGCTAACGATTTACACAAACTAATTTCTTATTTTTCTGTGTGTATCGCAATGTACCATTGAGTGGGGAATAAAGTATCTCCTAAACAAAAACACAAATGTTTACTTTGAGCATTACCATTCTGCTGCATTACATAAAAATGACACCTATGTGTTATCCCAAATAAAGTGATACATTACAATTAGCAATACATTAGGTTAAAAAACATCCCCAAAACATAAGGCATAAAGCATTTTAGGAGATAACCCAAATCTCCACTCACCAAATGGATGTTCCCGCTATAGCCAAAAAACAAACAAAAAAAAAAAAAGTCCCCTGGGAATAAAGAGGTTAATTCAGTGACAGTGATTGAGGCTGGGTC